TGTTAATGTTTATTATTTTTGAAAGAGAGAGAGAATGAACAGGGGAGGGGAGGAGCAGAGAGATAGGGAGACAGAATCAGAAGCAGGCTCCAGGCTCTGAGCTGTCAGCACAGAGCCCAACACAGGGCTCGAACTCACAGACGGTGAGATCATGACCTGAGCTGAGGTCAGACGCTTAACCGACTGAGCCACCCAGGTGCCCTCCTCACAGTCTATTCTTAAAGCAGCCAAAATAATACTTTAAAAATGGAAGTCAGATGTCACGCCTCTGTTCAAAACCTCATCTCCCACAGAGTATACACCAGTCCTCCCAAATGGCCCTATGCAATCCAGCTTCCTATTCTTTCCCTATCCCCTCTTATATCACCTTTCCTATCATTTTCTCTCTTGTTCACTCAGCTGCAGCCCCAGTGGCCTCCAGGAGCATGACTCTTCTCCCCTCCCTCCCCCTGCTCCCTAGGATCTTTTCATTTATCATTCCTCTTCCTGTCAACACTTGTCTAGATTTCTACAGATTGTGCCCTCACCTCCCTTAAATCTTTTCCCAAATGATGCCTTTTCAAAGAGGCCTTCTCTGATGGCTCTTTTTAAAATTGCAATCTCACTTTTACTTCCTAACTCCTTCCCTGCTTTATTTTTATTCATTACACTCTTTGCCATCCTTGCATTTTAAAATTTTACTATTTTCTGATTCTTCCCTAGTCCATGAGATCAGGGATTTTTGTCTGTTTTGTTTACTGTCGAATCCCTAGTGCCTACAACAGTAGACAATATATAAATACTGACCAAATGAATCTCTTCACCTTTGTTCATGCTATCCTCTTCACTTGAAATCCCTGCTTTTTAAATTGTATAAATCTTTCAGAACCTGATGTTGGGGTCAGGCAAAGTAAAGAAAAAGCACAGAGAAAGAAGTATAGCTCCAAGACAGATAATAGCAAAGGAGCACAGCACACAGCTGTTTTAAAACAGTTTGAGTCTCCAGACCAGATAAAGTATACTCCTTGGGGCTGAAAGAACTTTCAGGTGTGTCTGAGAGCCAAGGCAACGAAAATCTGAGCAAGTATGGAAAAGACTAGAGGTTGGACAATGTATTTACTTTCAAAAAGAAGAAAAAGGATTCCTTAATCTAAAGAATAATATTTTAAAATAAGTTATTAAATGGAAAGTTTGTGAACAGTGGGGAAAAAATATGGAGATGCTTAGAGACCCAGAAGGATTTCAGTAAAAGTTAGCTCAAACCACCATGATTTCCTTTTTTGATAAGCTTTCTAAATTGGAAGGCTGGAAAATGGCCATGAACATAATATATCTAGATTTTAAGGAAGACTAACAAAATCTCCCACGATTTCATTATAGATAAAATGGTGAAATGCTGGCCACATCATTGTAGTGTTCAGTTTGTTCCCAGTTAGTGGGAAAAAAAACATTTCACAAGTAATGAGTAAAGACTTGATGAGTAAGGAAGGGTTAGACTTTGGTTTTGAACATTTCAATAATTTTAACAGTCACTCTGATGAAGCCAGAAGACCTAACTATCCTGTATATCTTCCAGAGGAGGCTGGGAGGGATGATAAATGGAAAATAATGTCAAGATTCAAGATAATCTCATGGGTTCACTGTGGCTTTTAAGTGGTTTTTAAATGATGTATCAAACTAACTTAATAGAATAAACTCAACATAGATTTAGGTTCAAATAGGCTTTTCTATTAGTATCAAGGATAAAGGAAGATCTGAATTGGTTTTAGATGATTACTAGTTCAATATGAACCGTGGGATGTTTCCTCAACAGAAAGGCATACAAAATCTGGGCATGCTCTACTCAAAGTTGAGCATTTCTACTGTACCCTGCTCTAATCAGACGATATCTGACGTTGTGTGCCCAGTGGAAGCTGACCTAGATGTCAAGAGGTCTTTCTGCAAAACTCAACTTAGGAAGAGCTGAGAGGAAAAAAAAAAAAGTATTTCAGTCTGCAAAATAGAGTGACTGTAAAGATTTCCAAATTCCTCTAAACGACCACATATGATGCTCCAGGGTTGCGAGGCACGGTAAGCACAGAGCAGTTTACCAGTGTGATTCGTTACCCTGGTAGCCAGTGCGTACCCCAGGGCTCCAGGGCAGTTGGAGAGGGTCGGGCGCCTCGGCCAAAGGATATTCTGGAAGACTTGCCTAGGAGTGCCAGCGGCTCCCGCGCTCACGGACGCGCCTCGAGGATGGCCGCGACCGAGGGGCAGGCCTCACCTCTCCAGGAGCGCCCCCAACCCTCAAGGTTCGGCCCTCTGGCGGGGACTCCCGCGCCCAGCCCGGCGCTGGACACACCCAAGCGCCGCCTCCGCAGGGCGCGGCCGCGAGCTCCTTGAACTCGGACGTCGGGCCCCGGAGCCGCGCCCGCGCCGTAACCTTACCCGCCCGCGACACAGCCGGCCGCTGGGCGTGGCCTCGCCAGGCTCGGCGCGCGCCCCGGGGAGCCGGGACTCTGCCTGCCAACCGAGGGCGTCACGGGTGCGGACGCGCGACCGGCCGCCACTCGCCCCGCCCCGGTTGCGGACCTCAGAGAGCCGGAGCCTCGCTTGCCCCACTTCGGACCCGCCCTGAGGAGCCCTTCATAGTTCCACAAGGTTTCTCAACTCTCCAGTTTCGAAAGGGCCTCCATAGTTCCCCACTGTTCCTGAGCCCCGGACCCTCTCCGAGGTCAAGACACCGCTTCCTAGCGAGCAGCCCTCCATCCCAGTCTGTTCCCCCCAGCGCCCACGCCCCTTCACCTGTAGAAGGCCGTGTTAACCCTCTTTTCGCTAGGGAAGCCCAGCATCCCGCAGACCACGTGGCTGTTATGGGCGCTCCAGCCTTTGTCACACACTTGCGACCAGCCTTCGGGAAGCCTGACTTCGACCAGTCCCTCGGTCACTGGCAGAGGCCGCCTGCCCCTCCCCACGGCGGGCCGAAGTCGCACTTCTTCCACTTGCAGGTGCTGTTCTACCTGGGGAGGGGACCACAGGCAGAGGACGGAGTCTCAGTAGCGACTTTTATTTGTCCTGCCACCCTTAAGGAACCCTGATCAGCGTGCTTGCCATGAAGACAGTGGCGAGCAGGGGCTGACACAGGGCTGAGAGGCACTCCTGCTCTCTGTGGGGAACTGACTTTCCTGCAACCACGGGAGTGGAAGGACATGTCCTGCTCTGAGAGGCGATTAAGGGTGCGGAGCAAACTGAGGAAGGAGCAGCCAAGGCGGCCCGGAGCACGAGGGAGAAGTTCACAGAGGAAGTTGCACTGAAGGAAGAAGTAGGAGAGAGTAAGAAGGGAAATGTTCCAGGAGAGCAGGAACCTCTGAGGAGAGGGAGAGCAAGGGATGTCCTGGGGACCAGGGATGAAGTTGGAGAGGCGCCTGCCAGGTTTAGTGACGTGAATGCTGATGTGAAAACAACCCTGGGCTTTAATATGCCTAGGAGCATTACCATTTGTCCCCCACCCCCTCAGCCTCACACCGACTCAAATGATCCCATGGGGCATATAGGATCCCCTACCTTTTAGCATCCCCTCTAACCACATATAACCACCCTACAGCCCTCTCTGGCCATCCTGGGGTGTGTGTGTGTATGTGTGTACGAACGGCAGACCTCAATGACATTAGAATCCGAGAAGCCAGGGAGGCGCTGGTCCTTGCAGATGACTCCAGCATCCTCATCATGGGTACAGTCACTGTTCCCCCAGCCCCGGGAGGCACACTCGGTCACACTCTGCTCAGTCCCACTGCAGCTCAGGTTGTCCAGCCAGATGCGGCCTGTTGAGGGAGAGATGAGGGAACAGAGAGGCTTGTGGAGGCAGGATGGAGGAGAAGGGTAAGTGGTGAGGATTTGGGGGAGAGTGACCATGAAGGCCTCACACCTGGTTTGATGATCCCATTTTTCTGGTTAGATAATGGGATGTGAAAGAGGAGACCCTGGAAGGGAATAGGAAAGGGAGCACAGGATTGATGGAGGGTCAGTTGTGATCGGGGGGATACTCAAGAATTTGGTAGGGTGAATAAAAAACCAAGAGTCAACACTGAAATTCTGATCAGTCCTGACCTATTCAATGATAGCTACAATTAATCAAGTATGTGTTGTGTTAGGCACTCTGCCATGTATGTATATACATGATTATCCTTACAACAGAGCTGCCAGAGGTGTTATCACCATTTTACATAAAGAAATTGGGGTGACCATACAGCCAATACATGGGGGCTTAAGGGTTTGAGCCATTTGTGAGACTTGGAAATCTAAGATCCTTTCCTCTCAGCTTCACTTTCTCCCATGCGTCTTCCCTGTCTGTGTTACTGCTTTGCCCCCTTGTTTTCCTCTCTGTCTGGACCATCCTGAAATGAGTATTGCTGACTTCTCAGAGTTGGGATGGATTCAATTCCCCCCAGAAGCCATGGGATTCCACCCAATGTGACTGTCCCAACCAATGGCAGGGACCTATCATGCATACCCTGACAGGACTTTCCCAGCTTCTGCTGGGATACCTACTTCCTGCCCCACCAGGCCACTGAACCATCACAAAGTCCTTGTGACTCTCTATGACTATCCCCCAAGGTCTGATTCAGTCCTTCGATGCCATCCAGGCAGCTAAATGACTGTCAGCTAAATGACTGTCCTCATATTTGGAGACAACCTTCATGCAATTGCTACCCAAAGCTTTTAGTTTTCATACCAAACATCCCTGGTTTCTTCAGCCATTCCCTCTTGAAACTTGGCTTCCAGTCTTTCACATCTGGGCAGCTCTCCTCTGAAAGTATATCCATTTTCTACTCTCTCTTTTTTTTAAAAGTAGGCTCCATGCCCAGCATGGAGCCCAACACAGGGCTTGAACTCACGACCCTGAGAGCAAGACCTGAGCTGAGATTAAGAGTTGGGCACTTGATGGGGCGCCTGGGTGGCGCAGTCGGTTAAGCGTCCGACTTCAGCCAGGTCACGATCTCGCGCTCCGTGAGTTCGAGCCCCGCGTCGGGCTCTGGGCTGATGGCTCAGAGCCTGGAGCCTGTTTCCGATTCTGTGTCTCCCTCTCTCTCTGCCCCTCCCCCGTTCATGCTCTGTCTCTCTCTGTCCCAAAAATAAATAAAAAAACGTTGAAAAAAAAATTAAAAAAAAAAAAAAGAGTTGGGCACTTGACCAACTGAGCCACCCAAGAGCCCCTCTACTGTCACTCTTTAAATGTGGCAACTACAAGTGACGCTTTATTCCAGAAGTGGTCCAGCCAGTAGGAAGTGGAGGATTAGCTGCAGACTGCACCAGCTTCTGTCCATCAGTCCCATTGTGGGCTCCTACAATGTAAGCATCCTCAGGTCTCAGAATTCCTCCTAAGCGCCTACTAGCCACACTCATTCTTGTCTTAGAGTTTATACTTGTTCTTAGTTCCAGCTTGTTGGTTTCAGCTCTTGCCTATAATCTGATTTGGTCAGCTGCAGTATCTGTGATCCGTTCTGGCTTTGGGATATCCAGACATCACTTATCTGTTCTCAGCTTTCCATCAAACCAACTGTACTTTAACTGTACAGGGCTCACCTGTATCAGGGCTGTCCTTGCATGTAGCAAGGTAGAATCATACTTCTGCAGAAAAAAGGAACATAGAGATCATGTAGTCATTTTGCACCTAGGGTCTCTGAAGTTCAGAGAAGGCACTGACCACCTTAAGGTCACACAGTTCTGGGAAGCAACTGTGTTGATTGGTTTGTCAGCCATGGGTTTACTTGACACTGGCTGTTTTTGGTGTCCTGGGTCCCTGTGCCTGTGCCATCTGGTGTTCCCTCTCCCTGCATTTAGACAATACCTAGGCCATGCATGGAGCATTGCTTACCTGTTCCAGGGCCATATTTGGCACTGTGGGTCCAGCCCGTGGCCTCTGTGAAGCCCAGCTCTCGGCAGAGGACGTGGGCAGCCTGAAGCGTGAAGTCGTCATCGCAGATGGTGCCCCACTCGCCAGCTCTCTGTATCTCCACTCGGCCCTCAAAGGGCTTCCTGGGGAAGCCGGCCAGCCGGAACCGTAGCCCCTGGCTCCCAGCCCTCTTCTCGGGGGCCGTGGATGGGGATGGAGATCCCAGGCATGAGCTGCACAGCAGACAGAGCAGCAGCCCCCATGGGCTCCGCTGCCAGATACTGACAGGTCGCATGGCAGGGAAGGCCTGGGTGCCCCAGAGAGAGAGTGTGTAAGAGAAATCACAGATGAAGTCAGGCCTGGGTTCCAGAGAGAGGTCGTGAGAGGAAGAGAGACACTGAATAAGGACAGAGACAGAGATGGTGGGAGAGAAAGACAGGGACCCATGGACTAAGTGAGAAAGAAACAAACTAAACAAGAGCAGAAACACGGTGAGAGAGGTGCAGACTAGGGAGGGAGGCGAGAGACAGAGACCCAGAGATAGGCTCTCCCTCCCTTTTGTAAAGAGTAAAACTGTCCCCATCAGTTGTTCTGTCTCACAACGTCCTTTCCTAGTTCTGTCATTGGCACCTCCATCACCCCCACCCATTGGTCTAAGAGACCCAGAGATCAAAAGATAGTGATTAGAGACCAAGGGCAGAGAATGGTCCAGAGAAAGAGATAAGACTGAGCAAGAGGGAGACCCAGACAGGATGTAAGAGGAAGGAAGCTGTGGGAACAAAGCGGGAGCAAACAGAAAGAGACAGCAGAGAGAGACAATGTGGAAGATGGATAGAAGGTGATTGTGAGAGAGCCAAGTACACAGAGCAATGGAGAGACATGGGCAACAGGTGAGGAGAGGGACTGGCAGGAGCCAACGAGGGGCAAGGGGCGGCAGGAAGGACCCAGATGATTCCATTCAGCCATTCGGACAGAGGACAGACAGCTACTGATTGTGGAGAGAAGCAGGCAAGGGGGGTTAGGAGACCCTCAGATCTTAGTTAGGTTCCTGAATGGGAGCCAAGCCCAGAGTCCTGTCTGGGCAGATCCCAAGGCAGAGAGGGCAGAGACCAGAACACATGGAGAACCCCCTGCACACCCTACCCAGCACACAGGCTCTCACATGCCCTGCAGGTTCAAGGGGCCCAGGAGGGCCAGGCCTCAAGCTGGGAGGGGTGTGGGGTGGGGTTGTCCAGACCTCCTGCCAACACTGCCATGGCTGTCACTGGGCAACGGGAGCCCAGGGCGCCAATCGGCTCCTCAGCCAAGGCCTTTCCTCTGTCTGGGGCTGAGAACAGCCCCTCTCCAGCAAGAGGCCCCCCGAACATGCTTTCCCCCCACTCAGACAAACAACACAACAGGAAAGCTTTGTTCTGGGGACATTCTGGCTTGGGGGCCCAGGGGTAGGGCCTCACAGAGGAGCCCCCAGCCTTAGGGCCCTCGCGGCTGCCCTATTTGGAACATCCTGCAGCCCCCCACCCGCCAAATATCTGCCTCCTCTCTCCACTCTCCTTGTGTCTCACTCTTCTTTAACAATGATAAAACCCTCAGTGGGTTGGGTTCCCCTCGACCCTAACCCGCATCACCCCTTTTCGTGGTCCCTCCACCATCCTCCCATCCGAAACGCTCCTTCCTCCCGCGGCGGCGTGACTCCCCCTACCTTGGCTGAGCGGGGACCTAGGGGCTGGGAGAAGAGTCCAGGTCCTGGAGATCAGTCCTAGGACTTCCCCAAAAAAGTGCTCGGCCAGGGGAGACTGGACCCCCCCCTCTTTCCCCCCTCTCCTTTCGTCCCTCCCATGTCCCCTTGAGCCCTCCCACATTCCGCCCTCTCCCTCGATTCCTCCCAGGCCAGTTCCCTCCTCTTCTCCTTTTGGTCCTCCCCTCCCCCGTGGAGCTGGCCGCAGCCGCTCCACCTCCCTCCGCCCCCCACCGCCGACCCTCCCGGCCTGCTCAATGAAGCTTTCTTTTCCCGCGGGTTGGAGGCCGGGCAGCTGCGGTCAGTGAGCTAGACACGCAAAAGGCCATGGGGCCGCGGACCGGCCCGAACGGCGGCCCCTGGGGCGGCGGGAGTCCGCGGCTCAGCTCCGGGCTCCGGGAAGCCTTCCAGTCCCCAGCCCCCATCCTTCCCCCAAGTCCCGGGCTCCGCGGAGTGTAAACAGCCCGACTCCAGCCGGGCTGGGGGCGGGTCCGGTCAGGGGAACCGAGGCTATGAAAGCCCACATAGTCCCTCCGGTGCCCCAGAATGCCCACTGGCGTTTTCGGAGTGACGTCACGGCCTTCACTCTGACGTCACGTTGAGCATACGACGTCGTACACAACCCCTAAGCCCAGGCGCGCCAGAGCCCTCTGGTCGAAACCGCGAGCTTTCTTTTGGTGAAGCCACTTGTGCGCGTCCCAGGACTGTGGGCAGGGGCCTAAGAGTGGTGCACCGCCAACTTATCTGGGGACCCCCTCCCCTTTCTTCCTGCTCCTCTCCTGGCTCCCCCTGAGCGGTCCGCGAAGGCCGGGGGAGGGGCGGGAACGCCTCCGGAGGCCCGGCCCCGCCCCCGCCCCGCCTCTAGCCCGCAGGGCCAGGAAGCGCGGAAGGAACCGCCGGGGGCCATGGACGGGGCTGTGATGGAAGGGCCGCTCTTTTTGCAAAGTCAGCGTTTCGGTACCAAGGTAGTCGGGGCAGGGGTTGCCGAGTCCCATCATACCTAGGGGTGGGCTGGAGACCCCAGAGAGAGAGAGAGAGGGAGGGGGCGGCAGCGGGTTGGATGGAGCGCCGGCCGGGAGTTGTAGAGCCCTATGACGTTCCCGCGAAGTTGATTTCACACTGCGGAGAAGCGGCGGCCGGCCTCGGGGTACGCCCTTTCTGGTCCTGGGGAGACGGAGGGGCATCCTTCTCGGGAAACTTCGCCGTTCGTAGGGAAGATTTGGACCCGAAATCGGCCCGCGCCGGTTCTCTCCTTTCCCGTCGGGGCGCAGACAGCCGGTGCTCGCCCGCTCCCTCCCCAGCGTCTCTCGCTCTCTCTCCCCAGAGATGGAGGAAGACCTGGGCCGTGCTCTATCCTGCCAGTCCCCACGGCGTAGCGCGGCTCGAGTTCTTTGACCACAAGGGGTCGGGCGCTGGAGGGGGCCGAGGGGGCTCGCGCCGCCTGGACTGCAAGGTGATCCGTCTGGCAGAGTGTGTGAGCGTGGCCCCCGTGGCTGTGGAGAGCCCCCCTGAGCCCGGCGCTTCAGCTTTCCGCCTGGACACTGCGCAGCGCTCCCACCTGCTGGCGGCCGACGCGCCGTCCAGCGCCGCCTGGGTGCAAACGCTGTGCCGAAACGCCTTTCCGGTGAGGGGGCCGGGGCGAAATGCACCGGGGCCAAGAAGCGACGCGGGGTGGGGGCAGTTACAGCAGTAAAGGGCCTGAGCTGGCTCAGACCCTGGGAACAGCGTGGAGGGAATTGCGGGGTCCTCCATACTGTTCTTCTCTTTACTCCAGAAAGGCAGTTGGGCTCTGGCGCCTGCTGAGAACCCACCCAAGCTTTCTGCCTTGGAGATGCTGGAGAACTCGCTGTATAGCCCCACCTGGGAAGGTAGACGGCTGAGAAGCCCTGGCAGGGATGGGGGTGGGGTGGGGTGGGGTGGGGTGGAGAAGGAAGGGTGTCCTTGGGAAGGGAGTGATTAAATGGTCAGGGGCCCATGGGGAAGTAGGAAGCTCCTGAAACTGGTTTCCAAGTGAGTGCTTGGGCAACCTGTTCCTGCTTCCCCAGCCCCCTCACTCATCTGTGCGGCCAGGTGCCAGTCTAATTGTGTATTCCTTCCAGGATCCCAGTTCTGGGTAACTGTACAGAGGACTGAAGCCGCTGAGCGCTGTGGCCTGCATGGCTCCTATGTGCTGAGGGTGGAGGCTGAGAAGCTGACTCTCCTGACCATAGGGGCCCAGGGTCAGATACTGGAGCCACTCCTTTCCTGGCCTTATACTCTGTTGCGCCGCTATGGCCGGGACAAGGTGCGGGGTCTGTTGGGGCGCACTGACTTCCTAGGTGGGGCTAGCTGTGGGGTTGGTGGGGTGGGGCAGAACAGGAAGGTGGGAAGCCCTGTCCTCAGGATAAACCTTCCTTGCCTAGCCCATGACCCTCCCTTCCTCCCCAGGTAGTCTTTTCTTTGTGCATCCCCTAACTAGGTTGGGCCCTGTGACTTATCTCTCATGGCTCCTGGTAATGTGTTTCCTTCTACACTTTCTTCAGGTCATGTTCTCTTTTGAGGCTGGCCGCCGCTGCCCTTCAGGCCCTGGAAACTTCACCTTCCAGACAGCACAGGGGAATGATATCTTTCAGGCGGTTGAAACTGCTATTCACCGGCAGAAGGTCCAGGGAAAGGACGGTCAAGGGCAGGACAGTCTCAGAGCCGATTCCCATGAAGGAGAAGCGGCAGAAGGGAAGTTGGTGTCCCTCCCTGGCGCTCAGGAACTCCCGGGCACTCCTCCGGCCCTGTATGCTGAACCCTTAGACTCACTGCGCATTCCTTCAGGCCCTTCCCAGGATTCCCTATACTCAGACCCCCTGGACAGCACCCCTGCTCGGGCAGGGGAGGCGGCACAGTTAAAGAAACCTCTTTACTGGGACTTGTACCAGCATGTGCAGCAGCAGTTGCTGAAGGCCAAGCTGACGGACCCCAAAGAGGACCCCATCTATGATGAACCTGAGGGCCTGGCCCCAGCTGCTCTCCGGGGCCTTTATGATTTGCCTCAGGAGCCCAAGGATGCATGGTGGTGCCAGGCTCGAGTGAAGGAGGAGGGCTACGAACTCCCCTATAACCCTGCCACTGATGACTATGAAGTGCCACCGCCTCCTCGGAGCACAAAGCCCCTCCTGGCTCCCAAGCCCCGGGGCCGGCCCTTCCCTGAGCCTGGAGTTGCAGCTGGTGGCGGTGGCAGTGGCGGTGGCGGTGGCAGAGGCCACAGTTCAGACACTGTCCTGTACAGCCAGGTCCAAAAGAGCGGTGGTGCCCCGGGGAGCTGGGACTGTGGGCTGTCCAGGGCAGGGGCTGAAGGGACCAAGGCCAAGGCAGAGAGCTCCACATGAGAGGGCGAAACTGGGGACACTGTGGGAGGACCACGGGAAGGTGGCACTGGGGATCAAAGATACTTGTTAGGACCTGCAGGAACCAGAGGGCCGGAAGGTCCTGTGTGAGCCAGCCCAGGGCACCAGGGGGACCAGGGGAATCAAGGGGAGGATGATCAATCTCAAGAAGTCCTGAAAGTGGGACAGGTGGCAGGGGTGAGG